TAGATGAAGTATGAGGGATATTGTAATTCTAGACTTATTTAATTTGATATTTACTCAAGTTATTATTATTTTGACTTTTCTTATTGGTTTAAATTTTAGCTAATTAGTTTTATTTAATCAATAAATTTTGAGTGTTTGGTTAAGATTAATTTGTTTTAATTTTAGTACTTTGTTAAATTTTAGATTAATTCTCTGTGAGATCGATACTTTACTTGCTAATATACTGTCTATTCGATATGTATACTTGTATAGTAAAATTTTAATTGACAATGATGGATTTAATTGTTGAAACGTATAAAATCATATCCATTCAAGCTCTCTCTTTTTGTGTCTTAATTAATACACATGTCTTTGGAGAGATAAGTCCTATGCAACATAGGCAAGTATACTCTCTTAGCTTCTTCCATGCTAAACTCTTTGACACTTTGTCTATGTTGGTGGATTGAAAGAGTCCAAGCAACCTTTTAGATCTATTTCTATAGATCTTAATTCTCAATATATAACTTACTTCTCACATATCTTTCATGGAGAATTTCTTGGCTAGCCATATTGTAGTTGACTATAACATTGGTCTATCATTTCTTATGAGCAATATGTCATTTAAATAAAATACTAGGAGAACGAATACACTCCTATTAGTCTGTTTATACATACATGGCTCATCCTTATTTTTGATAAAATGAAACTCTTTGGTAATTTCATCAAAGTAGGTGTTCCAATTCCAAGATGCTTGCTTAAGTCCATAAATCGATTTTGAAGCTTGCATACCTTGTCAGCATTACCTTTAGATGAAATCATTAAGCTATGTCATGTACACCTCTTTCAGCAAATTCTCGTCATAGAATGTAGTTTTCACATCCATCTACATATCTCATAACCATGATAGACAACAATAACAAGCAAAATCTGAATGGACTTAAGCATGACCATTGGCTTGTTAACACCTTATCTTTGTTTGTAATCTTTAGCCACTAGCTTAGCCTTGTATGCTTGTACATTGTCGTCTATGTTGCTCTTTCTCTTAACAACCTATTTACAGCTTATCGATTTTATGCCTTTAGGTGGATTAAACAAAGTCCATGCTTGGTTCACTTCCATGGCATCCATTTCAAATTTCATAGCCCCAATCCATTTTCAAAATTAATTTCTAACATTGTTTCCTCATATGTAGGAAGCTCATCATCCATGAGAAAAACATTTTTATACGTGAGAAATTCATATCTCTTAAGGACTTGACTTATCCTACTAGATCGTCAAAGTTATTGTGTATGATAAGGTTTTGGTTATGCATTTTTCGCACAAGCCATAGGTTCTAGCTCCAGTGGTATGTCAGTTTTATGGTTCTTGAACCTCTTCAAGACTTCGACTGTCACCATCCTTTTCTAGCAATAACTCTTTCTTTTGATAAGTGCATGTTTTTAGACAAACACCTTTTGCTAGGTGGTATTGTGAAGTAATATCCAATTGTTTATCTTGGATATCCCATAAATATACATTTATCTAAACTTTCTCTTACCTTTTCAGATGATGTATGCTCCGAACAAGCAATATAGTCCCAAATCTTAACGTATGACAAGTTTGGTCTTTTACCTTTTCATGTCTCATATGGTATCTTGTTAACTAGCTTGTTTGGAATCTTTTTAAGCAAACTTACTATAGTTTCTAGGGCATAACTCCAAAATGAAATAGACAAGTCGACTTTGCTTTTCATGATCGAACCATGTCCAACAAGATTCAATTTCTCTTTATGAAAGACCATTGTGTTGATGAGTTCCTAGCCATTCTCGTGTATATAGTCTATAAACTATTGGCTTGGATAGTTTCCACTTGGATCTAATCTAATTGTGTGAATATCGTTGCCAATTTATTTCTCCACTTCAATTTTGAAATCTTTTTGAGATTTGTCTTTCATTAAATATATATA